GGGGGGGGGGGGGGCGCAGCAGGTAGGCGAGGCGAGGCGTGGTGCGGCGCGGCGGCGGTAACGGCCGTGGCCGGGCGCCGCGGGCGGTCGGCCTTGCCACTTCGAAAAGGTGTAGGAGGCGCACAGTGCGAGATTTCACAGTGGCACGTGAACGAGTATCGTTGCGTTGGGAGCGTTGTTCGTTGAATAATCTGCGCAAGAAGTTCTCAAATATTTTAAAAGTATGTACTTCAAAAGCATGACATTTGATTCTATCCCAACGAGGAAATTTTTCTAAAAAATAGGATTTTTAATATTATTGAGATTAAATTAATAACATGTTTTAAATTTATAGAAACAAGTAATGTATATGAGTAATACACTGAAGAGCAAAAAAAACGCCTGGCACGCCTGCCTAATATCATGTAAGACCACGGCAAGAACGAAAAGTGCAGCAACACGACTTGGCATGGATTCGACTAATATTTGAAGTAGCGTTGGAGGTAATTGACACCATGAATTCTGCAGGGCTATTCATAAACTCTAAAGGGTACGAAGGGGTGGAGATTTCTTCTGAACAGCACTTGCAAGGCATTCCAGATATGCTCAATAATGTTCATGACTGGGGAATTTGGTGACCAGTGGAGGTGTTTAAATTCAGGAGAGCGTTCCTGGAGTCACTATGTGGCAATTATGAATGTGAGGGCTGTCGCATTGACCGACTGAAAACGCCCAAGTCTGTTGGGATGCACAATGAACATGAGTGGGTGCAGGTAATCAGACATAATTCTTACGTACGTGTCACCTGTGAGAGTCGTATATAGACGTAACAGGTATCCATTATCATTCCAACTGCACACCCTGCATACCATCACAGAGCCTCCACCAGCACAATCTCCTGATGACATGCAGGGTCTATGGATTCATGATATTGGCGACATACGTGTATTCGTCCATGAGCTCCAAACAATGTAAAACGAAATTCGTCAGACCGGGCAACGTGTTTCCTGGCCAGTCTTCAACAGTCCAATGTCGGTGTTGACGGGCCGACGCGAAGCGTAAAACTTTGTCGTGCAGTCATCAAGGGCACACGAGTGGGCCTTTGACTCCAGAACCCCATATCGATGTGTCGTTGAGTGGTTCGCACGCTGTAACTTGTTGGTGGCCCAGCATTGAAATCTGTAGCAATTTGCGGAAGGGTTGCAATTCTGTCACGTGGAATGATCTTCCCCAGTCGTCGTCGGTCCCGTTCTTGCACGATCTTTTTGCGACCGCAGCGATATCGGATGTTTAATGTTTTACCGGATTCCTTATATTCACGGTACGCTCGTGAAATGGTTGTACGAGGAAAATCCAAATTTCATCGCGATCTCGCCGATGCTACGTCCCACCTTTCTTCCGCCTACACCACGTTCAAACGCAGTTAAGTCGTCATAACCTGCCATTGTACCAGCATTAACTGATCTAACAACTGTGCCAGAGTCAGGTTGTGTTATATAGTCGTTGCCGATAGCTGCGCCGTATTCTGCTGGTCCCAAATCTTCTTTATTTCAATACGGATAGCTGTACCAGTTTTTTGGCTCTTCAGTGTAATTATAAGGACGTGGATGAAAGCATTACTTCTGCAGTACACTAGTGTGGTTCCCCAATAGAGGTTGATCATATATCCCTTCTAGCGTACCATGTAATCCTATAAGTATACATATCACAGTTTCGGTACTTCAGTTTCTATTTCAGTTGAATACAATTGAAATGACAAAAGTTCTGAATAGAGAAACAACTTCTGTATTTACTTCTGAAGGCTGGTTATATATGATTGGAACTTATTCCCACACTAGCATGCCTTCTTTTTTCTATTTACAAAGACATATTCGTCATACTTTCGAAAAATGTTTTGAAATTGCTACAGGCAGTTGTATGGTATATATTTACTTATTTCTAATACGGTAGTCCAGAGAAAATTATACATTATTTTCTTCATACAAATAATTTAATTAAGAACGGAAATACTCAAATCGAAAAAAATTGAAGTATTTATGCTCCAATCAGAGAATTAGAGATCAAGACGAGTCTCAGAGACAATACAATAAACCTCGCTGGTAAAAACACATTGAATTCAGGTCACAGACCTTGAGATAGTTTAGTGAAAACGATTGTCCAACGAAAAACCAGTTGAGAGAAATTAAATTTGGAAACCCTTGGTACGATACCGATGGAGAGGCCCAAAATTGGATGCCTCAAAGATGTTGTAAAGGATTTCGGAGAGCATGGAAATCGATAAAATGCGTAGAGATTAATTGCAGAAAAGGCTAACACTTTGCTAATTACGTAGTTGCACAAGACAAAGAAAAGAACAAGGCTTGTTATTGGCAAATACATTTGAAGAGCAGATGAAGAATGAATAGAATTCGTAATTCAAGCACTAAACGAGTTAGATAAAGTAGAATCAGAAGTCCAAGCTACCACTGCTTTCGTCCACCCAGAAAGAGCTCACTGCAACTGCGCAGCGGTGCGACGTCATGCCGCACGTGAGGCGCACGAGTTCGAAATAAAGCGTTTCTCTTTTTTTTTTCTTTTCCTTTTTTCGGGCGGCGATCGGCGCGCCACGTCGGTGACGACGACCTCGCCGAGGTCTTCCCGCTCGCTTTGTCTGCTCGGCGACCCCCCCCCCCATCGTCCCTCCGCGCCACCACGCTCTTCGCAGGACGCGCTTGGAGTCTCAGCTCTCGTTCTCAATATGTGGTGGAAACGATGGCGGTGACGATGGCGGTGACGATGGCGGTGGCCTTGGTAGCTGGTAGTTTTTGTGGCGAATCGACCCTTTACTCCACTGCCCCGCTCGTGCTCCTACCCCTTGTTTACGGTGCATGTGTGCAGCGACGCGATTCATCCAGGAGAATAAAAATTGAGATGAGGTGTGACCTAAAATATTACCAGCATGCTAGACACTCTTGAACCTTGTAGTTTGAAATCATCCATATGCAATAATATTAATAATAATTAGCTATTACACTCGAAATATTCTTGGAAATAATTACACAGGCACACAAACGAAACATTGTCAGACCTAAAGACTTGACACATGACTCTGTATGTCGATGCGCTGAATGATAAATGAAAGCTAGAATTGCGCCACCCGTCACTTTTTTTAAATCAAGAGAAAAACGATTAATTATATTATTTA